ATCTTTCTACCTTTACTTTCCAAAGTGTTGGGATCACAGGCCTAAGCTACCATGCCTGGCACTCACATACAAAGGAAGACAAGGAGGGTCTGGAGAGAAGAGCTGGCTCATCAGTTAAGAGCATTTACAGCTCTTACAGATCCCAGCTCCCACATGGAGTAGCTCAAAACTGTCTCTAATGCCAGATGCAGGGGAATCTGACACCCGTGGCTTCTGCAGGCACCTGCAACTCATGTGCACACAGAGACATACAAACTCACACACATATACATAAGTACAGTCAAATAACGACAGCATGGAAGTGCGAGGGGATTTCTTGGGGAGAAGAGGGAGGGATGGAGGAAGGTGACTATAATTATGGAGTGGGAGAGATGCCTCAGAAGGTAGGAGCACTTCTGCTGCTTAATTATGGCAACTAGAATTTAGAACCAACAAAAGCTGGATCCTAAAAACTGAACAAGAAAATGTTTCTTAAATTCTGGTCTGCACCTCCACTGGAACCTGCGGCATATAGGTGAGCCTGCCTCCCTTCCCCTGGCCCCCACAGACTACTTGTCTCCCAGGTCTCCCCTGCCATAACCAGGAACACAAGGACACAGGGATGCCCTAATCAAAGACAGCACTGCCTACCTCTCAGGAGGCCTGCTCCAGTCTGAACCACCCAGGCCAATTAACACCAGAGATAACCAGATGGCAAAAGGCAAGTCCAAGAGACTGTAATTTGGCACCATTAGAACCCAGTTCTCCTACCACAGCAAGCCCTTGATATACTAACACACGTGAAGAGCATGATTCTGACCTAACATCTCATCTCATGAAGATGATAGACATCTCTAAGGAAGATATAAATAACTCTCTTAAAGAAATACAGGAAAACACAGGCAAACAGGTAGAAGCCCTTAAAGAGGAAACAAATAAATCCCTTAAAGAAATACAGAAAAATATAATCAAACAGGTGAAGGAATTGAACAAAAAACTGTCCCATACCTTAAAAATGGAAATAGAAACAATAAATAAATCACAAATGAAGGCAACCCTGGAGATGGAAAATCTAGGAAAGAGATCAGGAGTGTAAGCATCACAACAAAATACAAGAGATAGAAGAGAGAATCTCGGGCATAGAAGATATTGACACAATTGTCAAAGAAAATACAAAATCTAAAAAGCTTGTAACTCAAAACATCCAGGAAATTCAAGACACAATGAAAAGATCAAATCTAAGAATAACAGGAACAGACGAGAGTGAAGATTCCCAGCTCAAAGGGTCAGAAAACATCTTCAACAAAACCATAGAAGAAAACTTCCCTAACCTAAAGAAAGAGACATAAACATACAAGACGTCTACAGACACCAAACAGGCTGGACCAGAAAAGAAAAATCCTCCTGCCACATAATAATAAAACTACTAAACATACAGAACAAAGAAAGAATATTAAAAATCTGTAAGGAAAAAAGGCCAAGTAACATATAAAGGCAGACTTATCAGAATTACACAAGACTTCTGGTTTTTTTATGGGATGTTTTATATATTTACATTTCAAGTGTTATCCACTTTCTCAGTTTTCCCTCCAGAACCCTGTCCCACCCCCCTTCCCTCTGCTTCTATGAGTGTTCCCCTACCCAGCCACCCACTCCCACCTCACTGCTCTAGCATTCCCTCTCCAACACTGGGGAAATCGAGCTTTCACAGGACCAAGGGCCTCTCCTCCCATTGATGCCTGACAAGGCCATCCTCTGCTACATATGCAGCTGGAGTCATTGGTGTCGCTATGCGTATTCTTTAGTTGGTGTTTTAGTCCCTGGGAGTTTGGGGGGCGGGTGTCTGGTTAGTTGATATTGTTTTTCTTCCTATGGTGTTGCAAACCCCTTCAATCCTTTCTCTAACTCCTCCATTGGGGACCTCATGCTCAGTGCAATGGTTGGCTGCAAGCACCTGCCTTTGTATTTGTCAGACTCTGGAGCCTCTCAGGAGACAGCTATATCAGGCTCCTGTCAGCAAGCACTTCTTGGCATCCACAATAGTGTCTGCATTTGGTGACTGTACATGGGATAGATTCCCAGGTGGGGCAGTCTCTGGATGGCCTTTCCTTCTCTCTCTGCTCCACACTTTGTCCCTGTATTTCCTTTAGACAGGAGTCATTCTGGGTTAAAAATTTAGAGATGAGTGGGTGGCCCCCTCCTCCAACTGGGGGTCTTGTCTAACCTTTGGATATGGTCTCTACAGGTTTTCCCTCACCAGACTTCTAAAGAGAAATGCTAAAAGCCAGAAGATCTGGGACAGATGTCAGGCAGACCCTAAGAGATGACATATGCCAGCCCAGGCTACTATACCCAGCAAAACTCTCAATCACCATAGATGGAGAAACCAAGATATTCCATAACAAAACCAAATTTAAACAATGTCTTTCTACTAATCCAGCCATACAGAGAATACTATAAGGAAAACTCCAACATAAGGAAGGTAATTGCACCCAAGAGAACACAAGAAATTAATCATCTCACAACAAAGGAAAAGAGAATCACACACTACCACCTCCAACAACAAAAATAACAGGAACTAACAATCATTGGTCTTTAATATTTCTCAACATCAATGGACTCAGTTCCCCAATAAAGAGACACAAGATAGCAAACTGGATATGCAAACAGGATTCGTCATTTTGCTGCATCAAGAAACACATTTCAGCCACAAAGACAGACACTACTTCAGAGTAAAGGGCTAGAAAAAAATTTTCCAAGCAAATGTTCCCAAGAAACATGCTGGAGTTGTCATTTTTTTTTAATTGATAAAATATACATTTATTTATATATAACTTTTCACTGAGTCATAGAAATTCAACTAGTTCACCACTGTTACAATGCAGTTACAAAGCTGTCAAATTAAAGTCACAACAAAATTGATATCTATTAGTGGGGTTTTTCTCTCTGTTTTTTTTGTTTTGTTTTGTTTTGTTTCCTTCTTTTTTTCTTTTCTTTTCTTCTTTATTTCTTTTTTCATCTGTTTTTTTTAATTGGATATTTTATTTATTTACAATACAGATGTCATCCCCTTTCCCCATTTCCCCTCCCTAGAACCCCCTATCCTATTGGAGCTACCATTCTAATATCCAATAAAATAGTCCTTGAAGCAAAAGAGATAGGGAAGGACACTTCATATTCAAAGGAAAAATTCACCAAGATTAAGTCTCAATTCTGAACATCCTTGCCCTAAATGCAAGGGCACCCACATCCGTAAAAGAAACTTTACTAAAAAGCTCATAACACAAATTGAACCTCACACAATAATAGTGGGGGACTTCAACACCCCACTTTCAGCAATGGACAGATCATTGAAACAGAAACTGAACAGAGGCACAGTGAAACTAACAGAAGCCAAATGGATTTAACAGATATCTACAGAACATTTCACCCCAAAACAAAATATTATACCTGCTTCTCTGCACCTCATGGAACCTTTTTCAAAGCTGACCATATAATCGGACACAAAACAAGCCTCAACAGATACAAGAAGACTGAAATAACCCCATGCAATCTATCAGATCACCACAGACTAAGGCTGGACTTCAATTACAACAAAAACATCAGAAAGCCCACATACTCATGGAAACTGAACAACTCTACTCAATGATCTCTGGGTCAGGGAAGAAATAAAGAAAGAAATGAAAGACTTTCTAGAATTTAATGAAAATGAAGGCACAGCATACCCAAACTTATGGGACACAATGAAAGCAGTACTAAGAGGAAAATTCATAGCACTAAGCACCTACATAAAGAAATTGTAAAGATCCTAAACTAGCAACTTAACGGCACACCTGTAAATTTAGAACAAAAAGAAGCAAACACATCTAAGAAGAATAGAAGGCAGGAAATAGCCAAGTTCAGGGCTGAAATTAACTATTTAGAAACAAAGAAAACAATACAAAGAATCAACAAAACTGGTTGTTCTTTGAAATGGATGATTTTCTATATAGATATCATACACCAAGGTTAAATCAAGATCAGGTAAACTATCTAAACAGTCCCACAATCCCTAAGGAAACAGAAGTCATTAAAAACCTTCCAACCAAAAAACGCCCAGGACCAGATAGTTTTAGTACAGAATTCTACCAGATCTTCAAAGAAGAGCTAATACCAATACTCCTCAAACTATTCCACAAAAAGGAACAGAAGGAACACTACCTAAATCATTCTATGAAGCCACAATTACTCTGATACCTAAACCACACAAAGACCCAACCAAGAGAACTTCAGATTAATTTTACTTATGAATATTGATGCAAAAATACTCAATAAAATTCTAGCAAACCAAATCCAAGAACACATAACAAAAAACCATTATTCACTACAACCAAGCAGCCGCCATCCCAGGGATGCAAGGTTGGTTCAATATAAAATAAATTCATCAGCTCTTTTTGTTTCTGATGTACCAGGAAAAGGAGAAACCTACAGTAGCTGAAGGGAAATTTTTCCAAGATGATGTGATTTTTTTCTGTTTATGTTCCTTTTCTCCCATCTTAGGAACACATGGTCCCGCCAGTTTTGTGAATATGCACACAGGAAATGCATCTTTATAAAAAGTAACAAAGCAGAGAGAAAGGAGGGGCTGGTGCGATGGTTCATCTTAAAAGGCGCTTGCTGCCAAGCCTTACGACTTGCGTTCGATCTCCGGGTCCCACAAAGTGGAAGGAGAGACTGGACTCAGATTACTTTCTCTTGGCCCCACCTCGACAAATAAGTGTAAATTTAAAATAACATAAAGAACACAAAACCAGCCCAAAGAGCAAATGAACTTAGTGAGGACCCTACGTAGTCCTTTCCATTTTACCCCTCAACACACGCATACATGATGATCCCCTTTTACACTGCGGTTCGGCCGCGGGTTCCGGAAAGGGGCACCAGAGTCGGGTTGCAAACTCTCGGCAAGTTCCGAGCTTCCGACTGCGCAGAGCCCGCGTCTTCTCTGCCCTCCGCTCCCTTCCGCGTCTCCGAGCTGCACTCACCATGGTGCGCTCTCGTCCAGCCTGCTCTCGTCCAGCCTGCGCGGCTCCGTACCGGGTGTCACCGCGAACCGTGCACATTGCGAAGCAGCCAAGGAGAGCGCCGAAAATGGCGGCGCCCGGCCGAGCCCCTCCCCGCTGCTGATTGGACTGCTCCACTGTGCGCGATCCCGATTGGCTCCGGGACCCCTGATGGACAGGACCAGCGACCCATCGCCTTCAACATAGTCCGGAAACTGCTGCTTAGGCTTGGGGTTCGCAGAGGCACTTCAGGGCTGGCCAGGTCTGACTGGGCTTGTGCGCCTGGCACGATTTGGAGTTGCGGGCTAATCTTAGGCTGTGTAGTGAGAGGTTAATCTGGGCTGCAGGAGACCCTGTCTCCAAAAAGGACACAAGAAAAGCCAGATTTATTCGCTGAAAATTGGGTGTGATGGCACACACAACCTGATATCCCAGCACTACGGAGATGGAGGCAGGATTAGAAGTTCAAGGCCAGTTACTATGAAACCTGTTGTGGGGCCAGCCAATCTAAAGCTTTCTTGATCTAAGGTTAGATGAAAGGACAAGAGCAGGGTCAGACTTGACAAGGTATGGGCTGTGGCCAGAGCAACAAGGGAGTCAAGTCCCTCAGTCCCTCACCCCCCATCCCTCCGTCCCTTCTTGTGCAGTTGTGTCACCCCCACCCCACTACCACCCAGGGCTGTGGTTATCATTCCCAAGGCCACTGTGTGCTTGGTCTGTGATGTACTTCAGATATCCTGAGTTCCTTTTGTGCAGCATTACTGATAAGGTTCTCTGTTCAATAAGGACGGGTAACGATGACTTGGAAATAATTAGAAAGTAGATAGGCAACTCCAGAAGTGGAATTGTTCTTTAATCAGAATACTCGGACTTAGGTTTAAGCCAATAGAATGTCTATTAACTAATTGGCGACTACACTGGGTGTTTAAGATCCCAGTATTGTCCTGGGGGCTTTTCTCAGGGTGAGCTTTTAAATACAAAAGCTATCCTAGGTCAACATGCTCCAGTTAGCAAGATCAAGTGAGCCAGAAACGAAACTATAGAAGCCAAAACCCAAGGTTTGTACATTTAGAGACTTTGCTAGCTCTGTAGGGTTTGATGAATTAGGTTTTTTAGTTTTGTCAGGTAGTGCTGTCTATGTGCTGAGTTTTACAGCCTGAATGTCGGCTCCATCGTGGAGTAAGTGGTCCCCATGCTCCTAAGTTCTGGGGCCTGTTCTAAGAACATCTGAAGGGCAGCAGTCTCTGAGGAGGGGAGACTGCAGAGATATCACTGGGCACAATCCTTATGGCTATGGTTGGCCCCAGAATTTCAAACATCACACCATTGTAGAAATGATCTATAGTTAGCAAAACCACACCCCTGCTAAAGTGTGAGGCAAATCATAGCTACCTGGACAATCTGAAGCAGTCCCATATCTCACGCCTGAGATTAAAATGAAAATGTAATATTTCTGTGCTTTTTAAAAAAACCCAAAATTCCAAAATTGTCACTACACACAGTTATCCTCATTCATCCTCAGACTGTGTCAGTCTCCTTCCCATCTTCACTCACACCTCCTCTCAGGGACCTGAACCTCGTTCACACCTCCTCTCAGGGACCTGAACCCCGCTCACACCTCCTCTCAGGGACCTGAACCCTGCTCACACCTCCTCTCAGGGACCTGAACCCCGCTCACACTGCTCACACCGAGTACTCTCCCATCAATCACTAAAAGCAAATGCTTTATGGGTTTATGTACAGCCTGCTGTGCCCTTTCCCCAGCCTTGAGCAGGCCTGAAAGACCTTGTTTACCACAATAGACCAAAAACAATAGGACCCAAGTGGTGCTACCCACCTTGGCTGCACATACAGCCTGCTACAGGAACTGAGTAGAGTAGACTGCTCGCTGAGCTTGCCTTGAGACACCTCCAGCTGTGACTAAGGATGAGTCCCCTCACCCACACCGGCTGAAGCAAGAAGAGGTTTGGTGGTGGGGGTGGGGCTTTCCCTTTAAATTGAGAGCTGGACATTAAACTTGGAGCCTTGATCTTGAACTTGTCTTGGTGCCGTCTCTTCTCGCCCTCCTCCCACCCTAGCTCCCCCTACATGTGTATCCTCTTTTCGGAATGGACACTGTTGAGAATTCAGGAGTCAGTGTTCTTGTTCTCTCTGAACAAGATGAAAGTGAGTTTCTGCAATTATAGATCATTGAGAAAAATGGGTAACAGTACCTTGGGACCTCACTGACTTTCAAGGGCAAGGGGAAAAGTATTCTCCCTGTTAATCCCTCTGGCCACATTAGAATAGCTTCCAAATGTGTAGCTTCTGGGTTGTTAAACACCTAGCCGATCACAGGAATCTGGTACTTTTAACTACTGTATAATATTTCAATAAGCGTGCATTTCTAAGCAAATGTCGGTTTGACATACATTTTAGTCAATCCATGTAATTGTTGATCTTTGATCTTATACATTTTAATATGATATTATGTCTAAGTCATTCTTATGTACCTTCAATAACTTTCTCAGACCTTCACAAATCACAAACTAGTTTTCTTTAAACCCTTTAATTGCACACCTTTAATCCCAGCACTCAGGAGGCAGAGGCAGGTGGATCGCTGTGAGTTTAAGGTTAGCCTGGTCTACAGAGGTTAGCCTGAGCTGTATGAAAACAATTTCTATCTTTTCATCCTCCTGACATCTGTATTTCTCAATAATACAAGACAAAATATGATCAGCAATGTCTGTCTACCCCGTATAAGGTCCCAATGACAAGCAAAGGTACAGTTTCATCAAAGTGCACCCTGGGAAACCCAATGACTTCACTGGGTTTAGTCCCTGAGCATGGGTGAGAGGACACTGATAGGAATGAGGTACCCCAAAGCAATTACATTGAAAAGTTTTTCTTGCTGGGCGGTGGTGACGCACACCTTTAATCCCAGCACTTGGGAGGCAGAGGCAGGCGGATTTCTGAGTTCGAGGCCAGCCTGGTCTACAGAGTGAGTTCCAGGACAGCCAGGGCTACACAGAGAAACCCTGTCTCGAAAAAAAAAAAAAAAGAAAAAGAAAGAAATTACAGTCTGATATTACATTTGCAGAACAAATACATAGACGGGTGATACATTATTGGAGGGTGTTGCTGATGGATGTGATACATTATTGGAGGGTGTTGCTGATGGCTGTGATACATTATTGGAGGGTGTTGCTGATGGATGTGATACATTATT